AAAAATATTCAGTAAGGGCTCATCTGATTAAGAATAAGCCTGTTCATTTAAAAAATTTATATTTCTGTTGCTTATAGATCTGGCATTGGTATTTCTGGCATTCTTACCCTTAGGAATTATTCTGACAGTATATTTAACTTTTCCAGATGTTTTACCTGTCATCCTACCAAAGCAACAAAACCATGTTTAAAATGTAAAATGTGAGAGCAATGATAGGTGGCAATTATTCCCTAAATTGAGTTAGAAGTAGCTCTGACAAAAATTCTATGTATTAAATAATGATGTATGCATAGTGCTAGCTAGGTCAACTGCATTGAATGCCATCTGCTCTGTTTATATTGTACATTCATTGCGAAGAACTGTCACCCACTACATGCTTACTTAAAGAAGTTACTATATGACGTGGGGAGGGTGAACAGAACTCACTTTTTGAAGGAAAGATTCTGATTTAAAAAAGAAAAACCCTGTGGAAATAGTAGGGGCAAACACGGATAGCATGGGAGAGAGGGAAAAGTATTTGATATTAAGGTATCATACAAAAAAGATATTTTAAGAAACATATCACATATGCCATTTCTTTCTGTAAGTCTTTTGCCAGCATATACAGGGTATGACAGAATTAAGGCTTGCTTGCGCATGGTTGGTAGGGTATGAGAATGGACAGCAATTTGAACATTTCACCTAAGATGGCGTATGGTGTGCTTCAGCGTGATATTGTTATGTTACAGAATTACATGCTTATGATTTTATAATAAAAGATTTTGTAACGAAAAAGGGGTACTGTTTGTGTCAGACCCTGTATACAGGCAGTCAATGAGCCAACATAAATTATTAAAATAACCTCCAAATTTATGCTAGTGGACAACTCAAATTACAGCTTTGGCACATTCCTAAGGAATCTCTTAGATACCTCTAGAAACAAATATACTATTACTGATTAATTATTTGTTCTTCAGAGGTAAACAAAGAGTCATGATGTCCTTTGTTTTCTAACTGAAAATCTTGAAAACATCTATTTTCCTTTTCATGGATTGCCAGCATTGTTTGATCTAGTAAGACTTTCCAGTCAAATGCAGAGGAAAACACACACACACACACACACACACACACACACACACACGTATGCAAATATATGAAGAGAAACATTTAAGCCTTCCAGTGCTACTTGTGACACTTTAAGACAACCTATTAAATAATCAAATTTTGTCAAAGTCAATGAAAAATCCATTTTTTGGGGCCTCAATCACCACAGGAATGGTCATTTGTTTCATGAGCATTTTCATTATCTTCTGAAATACTGCTTTATTTAAACTCTGTCTACAGAGTCAGGAAATGAACAGTTTGTCCCTAGCTAGCTCTTTATCTTATGTCAGGACAGAAGGAAAATACAGGAAATCAGCTCTATTTGTACTCTGATGTCAAGTTTTACTATTATGATTTTGAAAGGACCGATTTTCTTTGTTTTGTCTTTTGGTAATATCGTGTAGTTACATGGAGAATTTATTTATGTGGGTTGAATCAGTTGCTATGTCACTAAAATAGATGTCTCAATATTTTCTGCATATTTTCATTCTTTTCAAAATTTATTTCTGTTATTCCTTATTATCTTCTATTTCTCTATTTTTCCCAAACATACTGGTTTTATAGGTATTGAAATCATATTTTTTGTTGGTTATTTATTTTTGTGGCACCCCCCTTTTTTAAATCCGCACCCAAGAATACGCTTATTGATTTCAGAGAGAGAGAGGAAGGTTGGGTGAGAGAAGTGGGAGAGAGAAGGAAAGAGGAACACTGATTGGCTGCCGCCCATATGCACCCCAACTGGGGATGGAACCCCCAATCTTTTGGCGTATGGGCAGAGCTCCGACCAACTGAGCCTCCTGGCCTGGGCTCCTGGCACCCTTTTTAATGACCAGTAAGGACTCATGGAGTTGCAGAATCTTCAACAGCTTCCTTGAGCATTAGGTATTTTTATGAATTCCCACCGCACTTTAGAAGCACACATTCTTGACTAGACTGAAGCGCTCTGAAGGCGAAAATCAAGTTGGTTTCATCTACGGATCCCCACAGCCTTGTATATAGGTATTAAATATTTACTAGAAAGTGAATAAGCAGGAAAAGGGAGGGAGGAAGGAAATAGATTTTTTTAAACCTCATTTAAAGTTGACAAAAGATTAAAAAGCATAAATGGTAGTGGCTGTCACTTATTTTATTTCCTAGCTGCTTCTGGTCAGTTTTACAGATAATCAGGTGGCTATGTGTATAGACTTGGGCACCGATGGAACTTTGGTTTTACCTGTCTTCACAATAGACTAACCAAAATTAGTAAAATGACCCAACCAAGGGGCCACGCCATGTCCATTTCTGTTCATTTTACAAATTTGAAAACAACCTAAGTTTAAACAATTAAAATAACCAGGAATCATTCTTTTCAAGAAAATAATTCCTTGATCTGGGATATTATGGAATATTTACCTATTCTCAGTCAAACAGAATTTATCATGTGAAAATAAGCGAGCTTATGATGTATGCAGATACGTAGTCACACTGCACAAAGAGGACTTTCATTTCTTTTACACATCGATGAAGGTGACAGATGAGCCCACTGTTCCATATTATAACTTTTTCTAAAGCAGAAGCACCTGTTGATATACGACGTAGCCAAGCAGTTTTGGTAAGAGAATGTGACTTCTGAAATAAAACCTCAGCAGAGCGGGAAGAGAATGCTACGAGAACTGGGGAGGATAGAACAGAGGATGCAACATCTGAGCATTTAAATGAAAGACTTCAGCACATTAACCCAGGTTCCATTTTCCTGGAGACTGTTCCCCCAGGCAATTATAAAAAATAATAAAGTAGGTAAAATATTTTTGCCTTTTCCAAAATCCAATAGAAATAGTACATCATGTGGGATGATACTTAGCAACTAAAACAAATACACCACCTGAGTTTGGTTCCGGAGGCTCAGACAGGTTACAATATTGATTAGGGGTACCAGGGTATCTTGGCTTATACCAAGATTTCAGCTGGGCTTAGTCAAAAAAACACAGTCGCCAATATGCACAGGTGGCTTTAAGAGGGTCCTGGGCTCAGGCATAGCAAAGTGATGTCCATCTGGGGATTTTTATTTCTGTTCCTACTTGAGACAGATCCCGCAAGGAGATGAGTCAGTGATTGACTGCGTTTGCCTACAAAGAGAACCCCAAGTAGATTTCAGCAGAGTAATTTTCTTCCGTGGGCTTTTGAAACAACCGCGTTAGTATGATTTCCCTACAGAAAGCCCCGTCAAAGGTTGCAGCAGTTGTTTGTGCTTCACCCTCTCTAAATGACTTGCAAATTTATTCAAACGCAATATGAGGAGATGCTTTATTTGTTGGAATAACTGTCTGCAGTGCCCTGCACAAAAGGGTGAGGTACATCAAGCAGAAACATGGATAGAAATACACTGGTTTAAAAACTCATAAATCCTTATTTGAATCTGCCAACCTGAAAGCCACGTAGAGCCTGAATAAACTATTTTTCCTAAATGCTACATCTGATTAAGCCATACCATTAAATGACAGCTGAACTTTAACATTAATATGATATTATTTAAATAACCGCATGATTTTTTTTTTACACTAAAAATGATGAATGATTTCTGGACAGCTCAATTGACGTAAAGCAGGAGGACTCTCTAATGAGATTTGACAAAATGGAGACATATGCAGAATATCTGTTACAGCTCACGTCGGCAGGGCCCTCCCAGGGAAGCCAGAGAGGGTGGTTTCCTTCTTTTCTGTTTTATTGTCTATAGGCACTGAAGCATTCCTTTCAATCGCCACTTCTCTGTGGATTTTGAGTTTTTCTCGGTCATTTACATATTACTCTTAATAGAGAATTTGCTGGTTTATGGTTCTGCATCGAGACGGTGCATGTGGGAAAAGGAGGGGCGTGGGGAGTTAGGTCAACACTGCTTCAAAGTGTCCCAGAACTTGAGACTTGCTACTGATCAGCCTGATAGAGAAATCACATTGGCCTTGGAGACTCAGCCACTAGACCTTTGATTAGTTCTTGTGCAATCAATTTCTAACACAGCAAACATGTTTTTAGCAAGTTATTATATATGGATACGTGATCAGAGGAGACTTGTTTTCAAATAGTTGTCCCTATAGTATCAATGAGAGAAAAAGGTTCTCTTCTTTATAATTCCAATCAAGCTATTCTAGAGGCGATTCTCAACATTCCCCATTCACATTTCTATCCACAGTTCTGAACTGAAGGCTATCCTAGATAATACTCTCATTTGGAAGATTCTGTATGTAAAATAATTACATGCTGAATATATCTAAGTAAAACAATGGCTCCAGTTTTCAGACCAAGGAAAACATTTCCCACTGCCCTCCAAAAAATACAGAGTATAGAATATTACCTGAACTCAGTCATTTATATGCAATCTTTCCCAAATATTCCCCATCAATCAAAGGTTAATATAAAACATTAACATTTGCTCACACATGTGAATTCAGATTATTCAGATATTCTTTAAATTTTAAAAACCATCTTTAAGTATACATAAAATCGAGATGTTTCCCCAAACAGCATCTCTTAAAAAAGAAATGAAAACAAAGGCAACAGAGTGTAAAGATGATACCAGGGGGGCCCCTGGTACTGCAGGCCTGCATTCCCTCTCTAAGAAAGAGACTCCCAAAATAGAAAATAAAGTCACTCGGCTCCTGCCATGGGGCCTTCCTCAGGCTATGAAAAAATACTTCATGTCTAACCCTAATTTTTTCCCATAGCTTGAGGTATCCCCCCTAGCTCAAACTTTCTCTCTAATCTAAGGTGCTCAGTGTGTGTCCCTGTCCAAACGAGAGCGCGCTGACATTTCAAAAGGGTCTTGACACAGGGTCCTAAAAGCAGAAGCTTGCACACTTGAAAAATGCCCAGTTGCAGTGAGGTGAAAAATACAGTTTAAAAAAAGGGAGAGAGAGAAAAATGGGTCCCTACCTTGCTCTTACCTTCGCAACATCCCTGTCAGAACCCTGGAGCTTTTCCCCAAGTTGGCATCTGTTTCCCGCAGCTAGGAGGAGAAGGGCAGCGTTAACGCACAACAAGACCATGCTCCAGGCAGTGGCGGTATTTTTAAAGGGCATCTGGCAAACAATAGTTTTCTTTCGTGAAGAAAATAATTTTCTTTTCATGATAAAAACTCCAGGTCATAAAAAATGCACTGAAATACATTTTTGACACCTATACAATATCTGGAAATTCTTAGATTTAGAAAATTGCATGTGATAGATAATCCCAGGAGCCTTAAACTGGATATTTGAACTGGATATAAAAGCAAATTCTCAATGGCTGACAAATTTTGATATATATTGGTAATTAATTATTTTTCCAATTTGCGACTGTGCAACGTAGATGGAAACAAAATGAATTGAGGGAGGATAAAAACTGATGTTTTTAGATTTCACTCTACAAGACTTGACATACTCCAAAATCTCCCTCAATGACCTTTTCAGGTCTAGCACTAAATAAAATATCGATGCAGGGGCATGTTAGGATGGGGACGTAGAGTCAGCTTATTCTTTCTCCATCCCACACTCTTTTTCTCCCCTCTCCTGGACCCTACATGCCACTGTTACCTTAGCCATTTTTATATACACAACACTTAGATCTATGTCATTGTGACTCTCTATGCATGTGCCAAAGACCCTTAACTTTATGTCTCACCACTTACTGAATTTGTGAAAAGGCTGTATCAGTTCTACTTACTCTTTCACGTGCTCTCTTTATCTTTTCTCTGTCATGGCTGAGGTTTTCCAACATCTCCTGGCCAATTTGCTCTACAAAAAAGAAAATTTGAGTGAGGAAAGATGACTTTGGGTGTCGAGAATAATTTTCAGCAGAAGTGCCAAAATGACAATGGGTGCAGAATTAATGTTAAATAACTGTGTATTATACATCAGACACAGATTTCAATTCATGTACAGTCACACCTTGGTACTCATCAGCTTCAGAACTCGTCAAACCCTGTACTCATCACATTCTGATAAGAAAAAAATGTTTCAGCACTCGGCACTTGTTCGGGACTCATCGGTTTCCGCTCCCATTACGAGTTCCAGAACGAATTAATGAGTACCCAGGTGTCACTGTACTTGAAGAATATTTTAAAAGTACTTGATGAATTTACCTATTTATCTTAGATATGATGAGATGTGATTTAAAATTCAAACTACAGAACATGACCAACATGGCAATGACGATTGAGAGGTGACAGGACTTGCCCAAGGCCACCTCAGCGTATGTTTTGCCCAGATGGAGAGCCCAGGTCCAATGGTCTCTCTATTATCATCATGACACTTAGCCTTTGATTTTTATAGGTTATAAACCATGTTAATGATTCTACTCTACTTTACTGCCCTGTTTTGTCTATATGAGTGAAACTCCATTTAGAACAATGCTGATTTTAATGTATTCGCCCCACACAAATAGTCCTCACACTCTCAATTACTGCAGCTTATGGGTAGTGGAACTATCCCTAGGCTTCCGCTCCCTTGAAGTTCAGTGTGTTCTCAGCTATTTAGGGCATTCAAGTCAGGGTGAGGTGTACTCTAATAAGCAGTGGAGGAGAGCTCAAGCTGGAGACAGAGCTTCCAAACATTTCCACTGATGTGGGCAGGTGGGAACATTCCTTAAAGAGCCACGCTGCTGAGTGCCCATGAGGCTCTCCCCTGCCGGGATCATCCCACTGGGCTGGCAGTGGTCGGCGCTTCTCTGGCTGGAGAATCTTTTACAAGACCTGACACGTATTCAACTGCATCAAGTAAATTTTTTTCGGACTCAATCTCCATCACCTGGGAGGTGCCTCATCCTACAACAGAAAAAGGATACCCTGCCTCTCTTCTAACCTTGGCAACTTGTCTGGCTACCTTATTCTATATTTCTTTTCTTTTTCTCTTGTATCCTATAACCTATAACAACAATTACCTCTGGCTAATAAACTTAGAGAAACGTTAAAAAACACCTATTGTAACAACAGCAAATAATTGAATAAAGCCATGGTAGTTTTTTGGGTCATGTGTGTATACTGACACACTTTTTAGAGTGACATCCTAAAAACTGTAGAGTGGTGCATAGGCCGTACTGAGAGCTTAGGCTGTGATCTCCCACTGCTGGAGCCTAAACCCCAAGGCTGATGTTGCTGTGTTGCCTCACACAAGTTCCTAACTTTGTTGTGCCTCATTTTCTTCATTTCTAAAACGGGGGTAAAAGTAGTTCTATATCATGGGGCTTGTTGTAAGAGTTAAGTAAGATAACTCAGTTATAATATTGAGCTCAGTTATAACAGTCTTAACAATGACTATTTATCGGATGATGATAATCAATATTAAAAGAACCCAATCAACTATTATGACCTTGACACCCTCCTATCCTGGGTCTGTCATACCCCACTTGAACTGCAATTTTATTCATTGATTAAAACATCTATTTTACCTTTCCCACAGAATTGTTATTATAGCCAAATAAAATAACCTAAGTAAAAATGCTTTGAAAGCTATTGGGTACCATATAAATGCACGTAATTGTACAGTTATGAAATCAGTGCACTCCACAAATAATCACTGAGCCCAGAACTCTGTGTAGGATGTGGGTCTGAGGACACAGCCAGAAAATAAGACCAAGCCCTTGCACTAAAGGAGCTTCCCTGCTAGTGGTGCAGATTTAGCCGTTAAAGAGTAAATGTTTCAGTAGTGTTTGTGTTTCATGGCACATCAGAAAAAGGAATGCACTCTATATTCCTTCCATAAGAGAAAATCCAAACAATAAGGCTTAAGTACAATAATATAAATATATTTTTGATACCTATAAAACTCTAAAAGTTCTTTCCAGTATAGTACTTTCCCATTATGGCATCTCCTCTCAGCTTGATGTTAGCTTTTTATTATTACCTCCATATGATTTCTCCTTAAGGTAGAGTTGGATAAGATGTGTGGTTCTCAGGAGGCACCATAAAAGTTGGAAGATGGTACTGATAGTTGAGAAGGAGGAAACTAGGGTTGAATTTTTTTCTTTTCTTTATAAGAGCTATAATACTGAATTTTGTTATTCTATTAGGAACTACCGTTATGTTGAATTCCTTTAATCAACATAATATAACAATTTTAATTCATTTTTAACTTAAAATTCCTAGTATCAATGGATACCATCAATGCTGGAATTATTTCAGGAAAACACTATTTATATAATATTTTCTCCTATCAAGATTGATGGTATTATAAGATGTAATTTCAAATGAATAGGAAGTAGATTACTCCTACTTTATTATTGTTATTATCATTGTGTGTCACCAGCATAAGGTTCCCAGTAATTATTTGTAGAAGGAATAGAGCAATGAGGAAATGAAATAAGGGAAAAATGTAGTATACGAAAGGTGGGATCTATTCCTGCTCTCGAGGCATACTAAGTGTGGCATTGGAGAAGTCCACATTGAAATGCGGGTAATAGATCCACAGTTCTACAAGGTTCAAGTGGGAAAAACTCTGTTCTGATGGATGTATAGTCTGCCACTGAAGGAATCAGTGGAACAAGAGGTAAAGAGCTCAGGCCTTTTCAGGAGTCATAAATCCCCTCCCTCAGTGTCTTTGCCTCCTGGGAAATATTTCAGCATCTAAAGTATTAACTCCGTCTGGTAAGAGAAGAGATATTGGCAAGGGTGTACATGTCCTGGTCATAACACACAAATACATTTATTGGAAACAATTATTTTTTTAAAATTATTATTGTTATTCTATTACAATAATAATTTACCCCCTTTGCCCTCCTTCGCCCAGCCTACCCCCTGCCAACCATCAATCCCACATCGTTGACCATGTACGTTGAATATTAATGTACTTTGACGAGTCCCTTCCTCTTCTCTCCACAATTGCAACATATTTCCCTTATTGACTGTGTGAGGATCATCTGGCTGCTATTAGTCTGTTCCATGTTTCCATGCCTCTGGTTCTATTTCGCTCATTAGTTAATTTCCTCATTAGGTTCCTCTTATAAGTGAGATCATATCATATTTGTCTTTCACCAACTGGCTTATTTCACTTAGCATAATTTTTTCCAGTCTTTATCCACACTGTCGCAAAAGGTAGGAGTTTCTTCTTTTTTTCTGCTGCATAGTATTCCATTGTGTGTGTGTGTGTGTGTGTGTGTGTGTGTGTGTGTGTGTGTACATACACCACAGTTTTTTGATCCAATCATCTACAGATGGGCACACTTAGGTTGTTCCCAGCATTTGGCTATTGTAAATAATGCTGCTATGAACATTGGGGTGCATAAAGTTCTTTTGAATTGGTGTTTTGGGATTCTTAGGGATATTGCCAGCACTGGAAATGCTGAGTCAAAAGGCAGTTCCATTTTTAGGTTTTTGAGGAAATTCCATACTGTTTTCCACCGTAGCTGCACCAGTCTGTGTTCCCATCAACAGTGCACTAGGGTTTCCTTTTCTCTACATCCTTGCCAGCACTTGTTGCTTGTTGATTTATTAATGATGGCCATTCTGACCAGTGGGAGGTGACATCTCATTGTGGTTTTAATTTGCATCTCTCTGATGGTTAAGGATGTTGAGCATCTTTTCATATGTCTATGGATCCTCTGTATGTCCTCCTTGGAGAAGTGTTTATTCAGGTTCTTTGCCCTTTTTTTAAAATTGGATTGTTTATCTTCATGGTGTTGAGTCATATGAGTATCTATATCTTTTGGAAATTAAATCGTGGACACACCATGTCTGATGTATCATTGTTCTCCCATACAGTCAGTTCCCTTTTCATTTTCATGATGGTTTCTTTAACCATGCAGAAGATTTTTAATTTGATAGTGTCCCATTTGTTTATTTTTTTCCTTTATTGGAAACAATTATTTTTTCATTTCTTACTTGCTACCTTCAATTTCAATACCCCAACAAAGAAAATTCCAGGCCAAACATATTAGAAATGCTTAGTCTTACAGAATGAGAAAAAAATTCATACAAAGAAAGTTGTGTAACTTTTTTCATGATCTGTTCCCTTACCCCAATCAAACCCAAATAACACAAGGCAACAATTTAAAGGGAATTATTTTAAGAATAGATTGTCCTTGGTCAGAATAGTATTAGACACTTAGGGACTTTTTCATTTAAAAATTAGCAACACTGTTAGATTTACTTTGCTTGAATCGTTTAACTTGAGATGTAAGCACTTACCAAAAACACCAATAAAGAAAACAAGGCCATTGACTTACACCAAAGCAGATGTGATATGCTGAGTCTGGAGTTTTCAATTTCTAACTTTCGTGGTGCCTTTAGAATGGGAATAATCCCTTTGCTGAAATCATTTCAGAAATTAAAACTTTTATAAATACTTCAGTTGTTGACTGTGGGAGGACCTTCTTGAGAGTAAGAAACAATGGGAAGCACAAGCGAAAACCAAAACCGATGCTGTGTGCTGGAACGCTACATGTCAGACTGAGCGTGATAAATGAACTCCTGGGAAGAAGAGCTCCTTCCTGCACTTCTTCTGTCCTTTCCACAGGGGTCCTGGGGATCCCCCTGGGAGCTCCGCATTCAGATTCATGAAGTGAGCTTTTGTTTTCACAGTCACCCACAATGAATCACATCCTTGATCCATGGCCCCTTCCATTGGGTCACGAACTGCAAAATGGGCTTTGGCTAATATTTCCTCTCTTTTTCAATATATTGGCATGGGGTTGGGGGTAGGATACAATAGGCATTCCACACTTTCCTGCTCCAAAAAGGAATAAAGAAGGAAGCAGGGAGCTACAAATCTAGCAAGATACTTCCTGAAGAGCTGGCCTGGCA